GGGCAAGGCTCACTGGCATCAGCTGAGACATCTCAACTGGAGGCTGGAGAATTCCTTCCAAGATGGTCCACTTACATGCTTAGTAAGTGAGTGCTAGTTACTACATGAGAGCTCAATCAAGGCTATTGGCTGGAGGCCTCAGTTTCTACCAAAATAGGACTTAAAATGGGGCTGCTTGAGCTTCCTGACTACATGGAGGTTAAGATCCAAGAGTTTTCCAAGTGACAGAAAGTGAAAGCTGTCCTTAAAGTCCTGACCCTAGAAATTATCAGCATCACTTCCACCATATTCTGTGAGTCAAGCAGTCACAGAGTCTGGCCACTTTGAAGAGGAGAGGCCATAAACACCTATTTTCAATGGAAAGAAGATCAAAGAATTTGTAGCCATTGTTGATCTGGCACAGTGGGCTAACATACAAGGTCAAAAATGCAATCATTCGTTTTCATGAAATACCAGCTTATTTGGCTGCAGCAGATTTTAAAAGCAATTCTATTTTTCATTTTAGGTTCTTGCATGAGTTAGGTAGCATAATTGGTGTTGCCCCTATTCTGCGGGGATTGAGACAGATTTTAACTTTGCTTAAGGTGCCAGCCATACTGTATAAACCTAAGGAAGTTTGCTTCTTCTCAGTCCCCAAGTGCTTTCCATAACTTTTTCCAGGTTGTGACTGGGTTTTAACCAGTCACACACACTGGTCTGTGACTCAAGAAGTACGTAGTTTTAATGGTCAGATCAGCGCACCACTTGTACCCAAGTTTTACAATATCCAGCTGTGGAATGGATCATCTTGTCTCTGAGGTCTCAGTTACTGAGATTATTGTTCACTCTTGGTGTACCATCTGTTGTCTGGATCTTCCTAAGTGATTTTCTGGGTTGGCTTTCTTTTTCTCTGGGAATAGAGGAAGTTGTCAAAAGCCCAATACATTCTTTTCTGCAGTGCAAAACCATCAGGACTTAATAAAGGAAAAATCTGTTAGCAACAATTGATTTGTTCAACTGTCATTCAATTTCAAGTATTTTCTCTCTCCTTTTATTAAGAATTACTTAGAAGTTGTGGATGCCCAGCTCTGGTCTTTTAAGTGTGTTCCCATCTACTTTACCTCCTATCCTTAGTGAGTTTTCCATAATTACATTGTAGTTTGAAAACTAATTCCGTTTGGAAGCTGTTAAAATCTTTCATTTAACACTGATTCTTTTTTAGATATCTTTAGATTCAGATAACTAAACTAAAGAAAAAAAGAGTTGATTAAACCTGACAACTTTGAGTTGTTGGAAAGTGTTTTAAACAATTGTCTAAACCTTTGGAAAATCTACTTCGTGTTTGTCTCTAGCTCCTTTCCTGAATTTTTAGTCTCCTTTTATTTAGAGGAAAGTTGCAACCATGTGTTTCTGATTCATTTGTAACTAACTTATTTAGAATTAGCTCAAGAAGCTATTGTTTTGTAAGAACATGTACTTTAAAGCTGTATGTAATCCATTTTAAGCCCTTTCTCTTCTTTAAGTAAGGAAAAATTATTTGCCAGACTTTACCTGAGAATCCAAAATTGGTTTGTTTCAAGATGCTGGAGCCATTGACAGTACTGAATGTAAGTCCAGGTATTGCAGGAAACTCTGTTCCTCCATGTTTACCTAGAATTGGTATGGATACGAATTTGTGAACATGTCATTAGATCATTGGGCCGCACTTGACCAGTCTGCAGTTGAGGTTTCCCCAGGACCTAAAAAAATCCATATATCTGGTTATGCATAGATTGATGAGTCTATTCTCTGGTGAGGCCATTTTAGGACATTAAGAGATTTGGAGATACAATATAGAATTGAATCCCCCATTATTGCAAATGTTTTGGAACTGGAAGAATAGTATCTCCACATGGCAAGATGAACACCTTTGTAAACCAAAGAAAGAAACATTTGCCTTGACCAAATGCAGTTTAAAACATAAAGGAAACAAGAGAATGAAGATATTGAGAAACTAAATCGCTGGAAGAGAGCTGGCACAGAAATGGTGAGGGTGAAGTGAGGAATGGGTCTTAGAATGGTGGTTCTAAGCCTAGCTAACAATCAGAGTCACCTAAATGTGCACTTGTTTCACAAGCACAGATTCCTGTGCCTCAGGATGGGCTGGTTCAGGCACCTGTATTTTCTAAAAGCTCCTCAAGTGATTCTGATGATCAGCCTAGTTTGGGGACCATATTGTCATTGGGGAAACATTTGTAAACTTTTCATGCATATAAGCATACATATACCCCCCATCCCCCAACACACAAACACACACACACAAACAACAAAGCACAATTATCACAGAGGGAACTAAAGTCCAGTCTGGGCCACAACAGTCTCTTTTATCCCCTGAAATCTGACTCTGCCTTCCCTCAAACTTTAGGAATAGAAATCAGCTAAGTTAGCAGTTTTACTTCTGCATTCTTCCATACAATTCAGACTACCTCTTTCACCAGGTCTCAAGTCAGGGCCTGAGGTGGGTGGGAGAACAAGACAAAGTAGATAGGTAGCTGCGGACACCTGCGACTATGGGGGAGCGCTTCCCTGTGTCTTGAGTATTTTATGTCCAGCTCACAACTTTATTATGTGCTTATGAAAAAAGCCCCAGCGTCATTACCAGGAATCCTCTGTCTATACCAGGACTACATTATGTAATTTTATTGCTTTTTGGAATCTTGTCAATATCCTCAATGGAATTCTTAATTGTTCGAAAGGAGTTGAGTAAAGAGGTTGGTGATGATGCCAAGTCCAGTGGGTGACAATGGTCAGTCCATAACACCAGATTGCCCATCCATTCAGGGCAGTGCCTTCCCAATAGACTGACCGTTTGTTTCCAGATTACGTTTGGGAATGGGTCCAACTTGGTTTCAACAACTAAATTCACCAGGTAAAAGCTCTCCTTAAGATTTTACTAGACTAGCATTTTCAACAGCCATTAATGAGCCAAGTACTATGCAATTTTATAAATTAAGGGATTCAGGCTATAATTATGTGTAAATCCTCCCCAAATTACCTGCTCTAGTCAGAAGACATGGTCTGAAAAAGGAAGCAATAATGTTTTGGAAAAATGATGACATTCTGTAAATAAACTCTGGCAGCAAAAATTTCTTGGCAAAAGTAATGTTCAAGTCAATAAGCCTCAATTTATTGCTACATGAATCAGAAATTAATTCTTCCTCAGTCATTTCCATACTTCTGAAGTATGACATCATTGGCAGAATCTGAACACTATGGGTACCTAGACTCATCATATAGTAAGTCAAAATGAACATAAACAGTTAAAGAGGGAAGCAACTTAGTTTTCTTGAAATTTTCTGGAGAATTGAGTTTACTGTAATGAGAATATATGAGGCTGCCAAAGGGTGTGAGGGGATGGGAGAAGTGGAATTATTATGACCTTGGTGTCCATAGGGGCATTTGTATTCTCTGGGGGATAACAAAGCCAAATACTCAAAAGTCTGTTCACAAGGAGACGTTGTTGCTGGGACTACCTTTTATTCAGCTCTTTTGATCCTTTTCTCCTTTTCCAAGGAATGATATAATCTCTGATTCTGCTTTTGGAGTCCTTCCCAGCCCATCCCTTTGTTGTCTTCTAACCTTCCATCCATGTGTCAGAGTGGTGTGAAAACATCCAAGCGTCCTGCTTAGGAAAATGTATTTGCTATTGATATTGTTTGGCAAAACACCTTGATAGGGTATTTTGGTTGTGAAAAGTGAAACGTCAAGTCAAGATCTAGAGGCAGGAGGCAAAATAAAGGCAAAATAAATCCCTGAGAGCAAGAGGGGATGAGGGACTCAGAAAAATTGGAAGCCTGGCGCTACAAGATCAAAGGAGAGAGGTTGGCTTAGCAACATGGTGGGCATCAGGGATAGTGGGGGCATGGGCCAAGCTGTTTTATAATGGCAATGTTTGATACTACATTTTAAATTGTTTGCTGCACTGCTCTGAGAACAGGACCCCTTGGGGTACCATGAACTTGAGTAGAGTTCACTATGTATACTTCCTTGTGTTGGCGATCATTTGGCAGAGCAATTAAAAGGAGATGAGGTGGCAGCCCACACTGGGGTTAACCTATGTGGTGAGATGGTTACAGGAGACGAGACACTGGGTAGAGGGCAGACTATTAGAGTAGAAGAGCATTAGAGACAAATGAGCCCCTGAGACTCCTCTACTCTTGAGTGAGTCAGCTCCCATCTCATAAGGGCCTCTGTGGTCATCTCTCAGCTGGTCTTGCTCTTCCCTCTGCTGCCCTGCTACCATCCTTTCTCTACAACAGCAACTGAGGTGAGCTTTAAAAATGTAAATCTGATCATGATGGCTTCTCATTCCTTTCAGAATAAGTTCTGAATTCTCTGCCATGGTCGAGCAAGCCCTGTGCAGCCTGGCTCATGGTTGCCCCTCTGACCTCCTCTCTTCCACCCTTCTCCTTCCCTCCCACTGATCTGCCCACACTGGCCTCCTTACTGTTTCTCCTACACACTAAACTCCTCCCCATCTCAGGTTTCTACACTTTGTGTCTCCTCTGCCTGATAAGCTTTTTGCCCAGATGCTGGCATAGCTGGCTCCCAGACATCATTCAGACCCTAACTTACATGTCACCTTTGCAACAAGAGCTCCCTTGACCATCCTACTTAACATACTCGACCCTCAACCGCTACTTTTGATTCTTTACTATGCTTCATTGCTTTTCATTGCGCTTATTATCATCTTCCATTTTTATTTATTTGCTTATTTATTTGCTGTCTGTCTCCCTGGGGTTGATAGCCTCTAAAACAGCCTCAATGTTCTCTGTCTTCTGGTATTTCTCATCTTGAATGTGGGCTGAATCTAGTGACTTCTTTCTAATGAGTAGAATTCAGGAAAAGTGATGGGATAGGTTACAAAAAGAGTGTGACTTGCATCTTGCCTTCTCTTGCCCTCTCTCACTCTGTCTCTGGGGTCCTTGCTCTGGGGGCTGCAAACTGTTATGTTGTGAGTAACCTATGGGGAGGCTCTTGTGGCAAGGAACTGAGGCCTCTGGCCAACAGCCAGCAAGGACCTGAGGCCTGTAAACACCTGAGGCTGTGTGAGTGACTTTGGAAAAAGGTCCCCTCCCAGCTGGCTTAGAGATGACCATAGCTCCAGCTCATACCTTGTAACGTTATGACCCTGAGTCAGAGGCCCCCAGCTGAGCCACATCCGGATTCCTGACCCACAGAAACTGTACAGCAGTAAATGTTTCTCATTTTAAGTCACTAAGTTTGGGGGTGCTTTGTTATGCCATAATAGATAACATACTGCTTCGCTGGAATGAAAGCTCAATGTGAGTAGAGACTTCCTCTGTCTTATTTCGCACTCTCTCCTAAACAAATAGCATAATGCCTGGCACACAAAAGGCACCCAATATATTTTTAGTTTAAATTAGTCAATTAATACTGGGATAGGAGGGGAGAACACTGGGTTTTTCAAAATATGTTGAATTGGGGCTTGAGACAACATTGATATTTAAAGTTGAGGCTAGTCTTTTTCTGTTTGTTTTTTGTTGTTGTTGTTGTTTTGAGACGGAGTCTCGCTCTGTCGCCCAAGCTGGAGTGCTGTAGCATGATCTCGATCTCGGCTCACTGCAAGCTCTGAGGCTATTCTTACAGTTGACTCCAGAAGTCTCAGGAGTACTCATGTAACAAACATTCTGGTAATACCAGGCTCATAATACTAATCTCTTGAGCACGATTATTGATGCTGGTCTCTGTTGCTGAGCAAACTTCCACTGACAAGCCCAAGCTGAGGATGGGGCCAAATGTTACCCAGTTGCTGTGTGCATGTGGAAGAATGACTCAAACCTCCCACACTTCCCTCATCTGTAAAGACCTCAGTGGGGTGTTGGTAATACAGAGAGTAAAATATGTAATGGGCTAAGGTTTGCTCGCAATAAATGGTGGTCTCCCCTCCCTCAGGGAGCTTGTTATCTAAATGAGGAGACAAGATCTGTGCATAAGGAAGATGACTCACAACACCCCACATGAAGCATAATGTGATGTTAAATACCAGCTGTTTTCCAGGCAGGAGTTACAATAGAATAATTCATTATTTTATGGTTCTTCTTTTCTGTAGGGTGTTGGGTGCACATTTGTCACCTGGGAATACTACCAGCAAGCCCCATATTTTTTCTGCAGTAAATGCTGGAAAGGAAAAAGAAATGCTGAAAATGATGAAGTAATTCCAATTCTGCTGATAGAGACCTGGAAATGCACTAGGGAAAAATGACAAGAGTGTAACACATTTATTCCTACTGCTGATTACGTCATAATGATTATTTTGTGCTGTTTGAAGAAGACTCACTGTTCTGAAGAACTAGCATCCATTTCCAGGAAAGACAGAGCTGGGATTCTCAATCCATACTCCATGGGATGAACCACATTGAAAATAATGGTTTCCTTCTAATAGCTTACTCTACATTATCTACAGAATTCCTTGGGATTCTACAGAAACCTAATAATATAGTAATAATAATAATAATAACAGAGGTTTGTTTTTGCTATGTGTTATCTAATATTCAGATTGTGAGCAGCTGTTTTGGAAGGCAAGAGGAGTGAATGGATGTGAAGTCATCTTAGAAATGTCCAGGTTTCCAAAAGAAATTTCACTTTTAAAAGAAAATAGCATAATGTGAACCACATTAGAATCAGCACATCTAATCCTACGGAGAAAAAGTGACCATGGCTGTCTACACATATAGGCAGGTCATTCAAGCTCATTCAAAAATTCCACTTTCACTGGTGGTCTGTCTATGTCCACATGGTGACAAATGGCCCCGGCAGGGTTTTCGAGGTGTTGGCGCCACCAGTGAGTGCCAGATGGAATGTGGTGAAAGTTCTGATTTGTACCTTTCAGACCAAAGGTACTTTCCAGAATGGACGGGTCCTTCTGGCTGCCTTTTGTAAGTGCAGCCACAGGTATTCTGTTGAAGCCTGTGGGTGAGAAAGACATAAACAGGTGCTATAAATTTGTCAGACCAGGAAGCCACAGGCCGTTTAGTAAATGGTAAACCCAATGGCCCAAAAGAACAAAGGGGTCTCTTTTCATCAGAATGATCAGGCTCATTCAACAAATATTTATTGAGTACCCACTCTCTGCCAGATGGAAGAGCCACTGACAAGCCCTCTTATTTAAAGAGTGCCTGAAGTGAGGAAGCAAACCCCCAAATCATCTGGGATGGTATGAACTGACCTCTGGACCGCAACATGCTGGAAAGGAGGAGCTGGGGTCCCAAGGGCAGGCCAAGCATCCTAAACCTGTGACACTCACCCTGCCCACACTCTCAGAGCTGCAGCTTTCATGGGGGTGAGTTTTCTGCCTTGATTTACTCAGGCCAAAATGATTTACCTTTCATTTTCTGGAGAAAATACAGCTTTTTCTGTAGTATTTCACAAGCCAGACAATTCTCTCAGGGAAGTGAAACAGCATTGCTTCTCAACAGAAATCTGAATTTCATCTTCCAAAGTTTATATCTTTGAGTCGTAATGATTGAGTCATAAAGACCAAAATGGATGTTGAAAGCTAATTTATTTACCACACTATGGCTTAGACTATTCTAGAAATATGAAAATATCTCCTATTAAAGCAGACTTTCTGAGGAGAAACCATTGCTTTTTCAACTAACGTTTTACCATGTTTTATTGCCTTCATAGTTAACTATTTTTTTTTTTTAATCATATCTAACGTAAGTCTCTCAAGCAGCATTTATATCTCTTTTACAATACTTCACCCCTGGACAGTTGAATAGTAGTTGATCAAGTCTCATATAACAGTAATTAAATTGTCACCTTGGTGTTTTTCAGACCCAATTCTTGCTAATTCTTTGTAGGTGACATGAATGCTTGTAAATGAGCTTGCTGAATGGGAGACCAAGAACAATGATGATATTGAGCTGTTACTACGTGCCAGACATTTAACCCTTTCATCCAGATTATCTCAGTCATTCCTCACAAAAAGGCTTTTGAGGTAAGTTCAATCATTTCCCCCATTTTATAAGTGGGAAAACTGAGACTTTACGAGAGGTCAATATTTACACTATACCCCCACTGGGAAGGGGTGCAGCTGAGATGTATTTCCAGTTAATTACACAGATGAGACTGCCTGCTTTTTCTATGAATATTTCCAACTATTAGATTGAGTGAGTGTTAATTAATCAACGTATTACTTTAAAAATCAACTTGTTCATGTTCTAATGCCCGTTTGTCACTCAAGTATTTGCAAAATCAGGGGATAATTTTTTTCTAGACTCTCACTCCTTTTCCAGATATAAGCTTTTAAAAGCCTTTGTTTAATCTTTGATATAATAGCTGGTGAGATATCTAATACCTTTGCTATTTTTTCTTTGAGGATATAAGTCTTGATATTTATTTGTTTAAGCCAGTAGCTCTCAACCTTGGCTGTGCATTAGAATCACTTACAGTAGCTTTTAAAGATCCTGATGCTGGACCACACCCAAGGCCAATTAAATTAGAATTGCTGAGGGTGATACCCAGGTGATTACAATGAGCATCCAAGGTTGAAAACACTGATTTAAACAACTCTGCCCTGGACTTTCCTGTATCTCCATTTCACCTGGACTGCTGTGGCTTTCACTTATCTAGTTAGAACTATGATTTGGCCAATTCATTGCTCATTCCCAAAGGGGATCTCATTACCAGTCTCTAATACAGAGGCTGAAAAAGCTAAATATTCTGTCTTCCATATGTCCTTGCAACTGGAGGTGCCATATGATACAGTTCTGCCCAAAGACAAGAAAGTAAATGTCTGTTGAGGGCTTCCAAAAAGCCAATACATACAGGTGTCACCAACAACAGGTAAGTCAATTCAGGTGGTTGGATTTTTCACTTTTCGTCTGAATGTTTACCTGTATCTGAATGTCTCCATAGACATAGACCGAGCATGTGACTTGAGGCAAAGTTAATTTGAGTAAGAAACCAAGGGAGAATTTTATCTCTTTTTATTGATGCCTTGGTCTCTTTCCATTTTTTCATAGAGACCCAGGAGTCCATGTCAAAAGTATCCTAAAGAGGAGGTAAAGGCTAAGAAATTTGAGAACCCTAAGATTTTCTTTGAAATTCTGTGGAGATGATGCTAAGAGGATCAATTATAAAATGCTTATTGGATGTAATTTTCATGTTAGATGGGTGAGATTTCCAGGAAGAAGCCTAAGGGATTGTAGGTAATATAAAGCCTCAAGGTAGAAAACACTGACTCTGAGCCTGTGTATTCATAATGTGTGTGTGCATGTGGATATGTAATCCGTTTGCTGATCTTTGTTCAACTTTTTATTAAACTATAATGTATGCGCGGAAAAATGCACATATTATAACATAGAGTTGAAAGAATGTTCACAAATGACCATATCTTTGAACTCAGTACCCAGGTCACAAAACAGAACATTACCAGAACCCTAAACACCCTGGTTCTCCCTTCTAATAACTACCTTTTTAACCAGCAATAACCACCAGGCTGGCATTCTTTCCTTTTTAAAAAACAAACCAATGAGTGGAAACGCAAGGTCACCCCTTCGCCTGTTTTCACTTGATCTCGATTGACATGGGGAAGTAAAACCTGTACTATGGCACACTTAATTATGGGAAAATGAAAAGAAAGAAATAAAAACCAGACCAACAAAGCAAAGATTTAAGTTGGCATCGCTTTCCATATAATTGTGATGCCGGCAGACACTCAATAAACATATCAGCATTGTTAAAATGATTTATCAGCCAAATAGTTGAATGTAAAATATTATCAATACAGGTGTCATCATTGATCTTTCTTGGGTCTCACTGCTGAAGAATGGGGCTGTAAGATGATTTCAACAAACAATCCTTGACAGGAAACCAAAGGCAACAAGGCACAGGGACAGACAGCTGAAAAATGCAGTATGGGGCCATTAAAGCATGTGATGAATTTGCCAGGAAAGTATATATTTGTGCAAGAGGTGAGCTCATATCTCCCATAAATTTGTCAGCCGTGACACAGTGTTCTCTGGCTTGGCATGAGTAATGCCTTGCTATTTGCTGCCTTTGTCTGGCAAAAGCTCTATCAGTCACTCCAGGGTTATTTACAAAGAAACGTGTCTATCAGTTACAAGGACATGACTTTGCTGCTAAAAGATAACAAAAGAGGAAATCAGGCAGTGGCCTCTCAGCGAGGGATGCGTCTTTTCCAGACAAGCTCTGGACTGGAATGAATCAGATGGATGACAATTGGCCGGGCTGGCCCAGTGCCTGGCATGACCAGCCTTAGTGCATTTATCCACACTGATTAGATTAGAAATTATTAATAGGGGGCTACGGAGTAGAGCAAAAGGTCATTTAGAGTTTAATTCTGTTCTCAGATAACTTCATTTCGGCTGATGGGATTGTTATTGTAGGGGTTTTATATGTTTATAGGAAACAATATACTCAATAATGAAGTCCTGCCTCCTTCTGCAAGGTCAGGAAAGCTATTGTGTGGCTAGATTGAAGTCTTCACAATTGTGTTAATTAAGTAACAGTGATTGGACTTGGTCTTCTCTTGAAATGCATTTAAGAGCCTAAAAGCTGCTGAGAATGTATTCTTTCAATATAAATATATAGTAAAGCAAGTGAGACCAGAAAGCAGCCGACGATTGAGTAAACAGAAGAGCTGACATGAAGCTTTTACTTAAGGAAGACAGGAGCCTGGTTGGCAGATGTAACTTCTTGCCACATAAATACAAATGTCTTGTCAGTTTATGATTAAACATAACAGGTCCCTTTTTCTTACTCAATTCCTGATGAATCTGAAAGATAAAGCTGTAGAATGTATCGTTGATGGCACATTATGTCTCGTCAGTTACTTTGTTCCCTCACAGGCCTGCCTATATGAGACAGATGATCAGAGTATGGTAAGAGGCATGTCCTTCTCAGATTAAAGGACCATAGCCTTGGTCTTGGCTTACAGTCCAGGGTCATTCTGGAGAGGGAACCCAGCTTTGTCCCCTCCTCTAGAGGGCTTATAACTCAGATATTAACATATGCTGAAGACGGTTGCAATTTTATTTGTTTTGAGATACCAGATATCTTCTAAATAGCTAAAAAAGAATTTAGTTGACTCTAAGTGAAAAGTGGGTTCATGGAAAGCACTTTGTTGCCACGTGTTTCTTAAAGACCACAGAAGACTTTTGGGCTCCATTTAAGCAAGTCCCCTTCCATTTGGCTCCAGATGCAGTGATACCCCATAAAGGGGAAGTTTAAAGTGAAACTTGGCAACTAGTGATTGAGTCTTATCTTTCCAGCCCTCCTCCAACACCCCCACCCACACATACAAGAGAACCACCATCCAAAGACTTTGTTCAACTTTTTATTAAACTATAATGTATGCGCGGAAAAATGCACATATTATAGGAGAGTTGTTGAATGGAAATGATAGTTTCATTGATGTAAGTTTTATAAAATACCTCTAAGGCAGAGATTCTCAAATGGAAGTGATTTTGTTCCCCAAAGGACATTTGACAATGTCTGGAGACATCTGGGGTTGTAACAACTAGGGGTGGATGGTTGCTACTGGCATCTAGTGGGTAGAGCCAGGGATGCTGCTAAATGTTCTGCAATGCCTGCCCCACACATAGAACAAAGAGTCATCCAGGCCAAAATGTCAATAGTGTGAAGGTTGAGGAACCCTGCTCTCAAGAATCTTTGTATTGATGAAGAATGAAGAGTTGGGAGAGGTTATTCTCTCTAGGGAATGGGTTACCATACAGAATTTCTACTTAGAAAAAAAATCTGTAATTATGACGTTATAAATAATCATACTAGAATTTGGAAAAATTTCTTATAAAATGTGCTCAGCCAGGTGTGGTGGCTCACGCCTGTAATCCCAGCACTTTGGGAGGCCAAGGTGGGCAGATCATGAGGTCAGGAGATCAAAACCATCCTGGCTAACATGGTGAAACCCCGTCTCTACTAAAAATACAAAATGGGTTACCACACAGAATTTCTACTTAGAAAAAAAATCTGTAATTATGACGTTATAAATAATCATACTAGAATTTGGAAAAATTTCTTATAAAATGTGCTCAGCCAGGTGTGGTGGCTCACGCCTGTAATCCCAGCACTTTGGGAGGCCAAGGTGGGCAGATCATGAGGTCAGGAGATCGAAACCATCCTGGCTAACATGGTGAAACCCCGTCTCTACTAAAAATATAAAAAATTAGCCAGGTGTGATGTCGGGTGCCTGTAGTCTCAGCTACCCGGGAGGCTGAGGCAGGAGAAAGGTGTGAACCGGGAGGCAGAGCTTCCAGTGAGCTGAGACAGCACCACCCAGCCTGGGAAGAGTGAGACTCCATCTCAAAAAAAAAAAAAAAAAAAAAAAAAAAAATTAATTAATTAATTAATTAAAATGTCCTCATTTCAATGAAAACTTGGGAGATAGAAAAATACTGCTTTTTTGTTGTTGTTGTGCCACATGATTTTAGAGTTATTTGCTACATGTGCTGCATGATTTTAGAGTTATCATGGTGTGATGAAATGTCAAGACTCAAAAGCTTTGTATGAATATGCATGAGGTGGCATGATGTACTGGAAGGAAGACTAAACTGAGATCCCATATATCTAAATGCAACCTCACCATCGATGAAACATGAACCTGGTCAAGTTCTTTAACCCATGTAGGCCTCAATTACTGTTTCTGGCCAGACACCAAGACTGAGAAGCTTGACATCATTACTTGGCTATTCCTTCCTCAACCACAGTCATAGCCAGGACAAGGATTTCTCCTTATTTCTGAACCTACAGTCATCCCTTCCTTTATATTACCAGTGGCCTGACTTTAGTTTGACTCTTTGTTGCTTCATATCTGGACTGTTGCAGTGGTTTCCTTGGACATATGCTATGAAATGCTGCCATTTTGTCTGTTTAAACCACTGCTTTTTTCATGTCACTCCTTTCAATTTCTTCAATGGCTTCCCATTGCCTCTAATGGATGTGACACCCCCACACCTCCCTGATAAGCCTAAGAATACTTTTCTATCCTTGTCCCAGGTGTTTTCCCTACTTGGATCTCTGCTGTCTCCATCACATTAATGCGCTTACTACCTTCTTCATAATGGCGTATCCTAGATTGAAAGTCTTGTTGCTCAGCATTTGTTCAGAAACACCCTCTTCCTGGAACGTTCCCTCCCTATTGTTATCTCTCATTCTTCTTTCAAATCTGAAATCCAGAGCATCTCAAAAAAGCTTAATGAGATTTCCAGTGATATCTCTGTCTTCTGAGTTCCTATGTACTTATGATTGTCTGAGCGGTGTGCATAGTACTTACTGTATTTGACTTTGTATAAAATTTTTCTTCTCCCTTCATTTACATCTTTCATCCCTTCTCAACTAAGAGAAAAGAGTCCACCACACTGAGTAGGCTTTACATGAGCTAATACGGGGTTCAATGGGAAAGGGAAAGAAATGTTTTATACCATCTTCTGGGTTTCGTGCACCTTCATGATTGGCTAAAACTAAGACATTTTGGGAGAGAATCGTAGCGATGTATTCACACACATAAATTAAAATGTAAAGTCTTTCAATAGGCTCTAAGCCTCATCATGACAGTCACAATACCCAAGACACCTTGTGTCCTCTTGGCTTTGATGTAGAAGGTGTCCAAAGAAGGCTTAGGTGAATGATTTTATTTTGCACATGACTTTCTATGTCAAAATTATCAGTGAAATAAAAATAGTACCCAGGATTGGGGGACTTTCAGTTACTACAGAAAGCACTTTGCATTTAAAAAAATATTTTACTAGCATTCATTTTTTTTTTTTATTTTTGAGAGAAACATCTCTGTTTAAATGTGTCTCTTTGTAATCCAAAAGTGAAAGTTTTTTTCTGAACGTCTCAGTTGACTCTTGTAACTTGATTCCAAAGACAATGGATTCCACTAGACTCCTAAACTGAAACAAAATGATCAAATTTTGACATGGAGTTGGAGAAAGTGATCCATATTGCTTAGTGTTTTGGGAGGGTGCTTTTTGTTGTTTGTTTTTCTTTAGAAAGCTGTCTGGGATATAGATATAATGTGTGATTTTATGCCACATGAGCATCAAAGTGTTCTTTTCATCTTTCCTTTTGACTTAAGCATACTCATGGTTAATGTATGCCAATAGATTTTAAAGATGCAGCCATCTGCCTTGCCTTACCCGTAAAAGTCTGCTTGTTCTTACCTCCTTTGTAGGTCCCCAAAGTTTTATACATCCT